TTTATTTTTCCCAAATCTTGTTTACAACCCATTCCTCTGATGCATCCCCCACCACAGGCAGAACACAGACTGCCCAGTCTCCCCCCAAACCCTGGTTTTGCCTGTGTGCTGTGTGTTCATGGATGCGATCCCAGCAACACAAAGCTGTCATCTCATTTGTGAGTCATTGATCTGTGTAATGCATGTCCTCAGGCACACAAGAGTTCTAGTACTGGTTAGTGCTTTCTGTGTCATAAGAAGAACTCACAAAGATGTTTTCCTGTTTTCTTCTAGAAGAGTTGTAATTATAGCTTTTATACTTAGGTCTATGACCCATCTCAAATTGACTTTTGTTTACAGTATGAGGTAATCAGTAAAATATGTTTCTTTTCACATGATTTTCTATTTATTCCAACATTATTTGTCAAGAAAACTGCTATCTTAATGCCTTGAAATTTCCAATCCATAAACATGATAAATCTTTCCATTTTTAATATATTTTTTTAAATTTCCCTTTGTGAATCCATCCCTCCCTTCCTTCCTTTTTCTTTCTTTTCTTCTTTCTTTCTTTCTTTCTTTCTTCCTGCTTTTATTTATAGAATGCTGTGATAGTTTTCTCTAAAAGACAGTTAACTTACTGGTTGATCAGCCAGATCCCTTGGAAGCTTGTGGAATTTTGGTAGGGCACTTGTAGAGTGGCTCTAATTCTAGGACTGAGGTGTGATCCCCCCTCCCCCCACCCCTGCCTTGGGGTGCCAAGTGTATTTTCCCAGGGGTTTCAGCAACCTCTCTCCACTCTGGCTGGTCAGGATTCATATGTTCTTCAGGACTGTGTGGCCACCAGAATGCCCATTCCTGCTGTCAGTCTTCAGGAGGCTCTGTATGTGTCTGCTGTTCAGTGTTTGACCCCCGTGCCATATTGGGAGCAATTTTCTGCACAGTTTCCTTCTCTCCAGAAACTTCCCCTACAAACAGCAGCCACTTGCACAGCCCTGACCTCTGCTCTCTTCCTGCCGCATCAAAGCTACTTGCTCTGTGCAAGACTCCCTTGCTACAGTCCAGAAGCAGTTCTAAGGAAGGGACCTGGAGCAAACGTGAAGCCCCTTTCCTCAACCCTCTACTGCCTGCTGTCTAATGCCTGAGAACTGCTGCCTTAAAAACTTCTATCAGACTTAACAATGGCTTATACATGTAGGCAAATACGATAACAACTTCCATTTGACTTGAAGCCAAATGCCTGTTATTTTTTAAAAAAGATTTTATTTATTTGAGAGAGAGAGCGGGGAGAGAGCACAAGCAGGGTGAAGGGTAGATGAAGCAGCAGACTTCCTGAGCAGGGAGCCCGATTTGGGGCTTGATCTCAGGACCCCCAGTTCATGACCTGAGACAAAGGCAGACGCTTAACCGACTGAGCCACCCAGGTGCCTCCAAATTCCTATTATGCTTATTATAATTATATAATTATGATGATCTTTATTGGACTTTTAAGGTTCTAATCCTCATTGTCAAGCTGACACTATCATAAGTAGTTTATAAGAGTAACCTTCTCGGGACGCCTGGGTGGCTCAGTTGGTTGAGCAGCTGCCTTCGGCTCGGGTCATGATCCCAGCGTCCTGGGATCGAGTCCCGCATCGGGCTCTTTGCTCGGCAGGGAGCCTGCTTCTCCCTCTGCCTCTGCCTGCCACTCTGTCTGCCTGTGCTTGCTCTCTCTCTCTCTCTGACAAATAAATAAACAAAATCTTTAAAAAAAAAAAAAAAAGAGTAACCTTCTGACAGGGCTCTTTATCAAACTGGATAACATAATTCATTTTTTAACTGTTCTTAAACACTTTTTCACAAGTATTATTTTTTTCCAAATTTACATGAATTTTTTTCTACTCATATCTTCTCATTCCCTGTTAAATTATTGGTTTGATTCTTTTCTTAAGTTAGCATCTCCATCTTTATAGTAAGTATTGATAGTTTTCTGAGTATCTTTTAAAATTTGTTTCCCCAAATTATTCCTCAGGAATTTGTTTTAATTTGTCCAATGAATAATCTCTCCCTACATAGCATGTAGCATTCTCATATTTTTTTGTAAAAAAAATCTATTTGCCATAACTACACACATTCCTTGAAATATGTTTTTCATGGCTCTCTTTTTACTCTTTTCTTTTTCCCCAGAGACTAAAATGCCATGTAATGCAATGAAAAATTTTCCAATCCTTTTATGTCTCAGTGAATTAAAATGGTAGAATTAATATGAATCAGCTGTCATATCAAGAGCTGAATTAAATCGGTGATTTGCTAGATGGCATTTGGCCTAAAATAGAAAATAAGAGGGCAAACAGTAAGTCTTCAAGAAAAATGTGTGGATTTTTACTGCTCCATCCTGTAACCAGCCAGCAGAATCCAGTTAGGAAAAACAAAAAGAAAAAAAGAGGGAGAAAATTAATTTGGTTTACTCCAGGGATCAAAAGCACAGTTGAATGGAGTGAAAAATTTTCTCAGCATTTCTGGATGAAAGGAGGTGGTTGATGGGTGATAAGTAGTCTGGGGGCATAGCAGTGGTTGGAAATGTTTCTGCGATACATAAGGATACGAGTAATAATGCAGAGGACAGCACTCTGGACGTCCAGGGGACCAGGACTGAGAAAATAGAGATGTCATTCATGTAATGGATGTAACAGGCACCTGTCCAGAAGAGACCACTTGTTTCTCTCCATATCTACTGGTTCTTTGAAGTTTGGGGTGGGGATGCACCATATACGAAGGTGGTATTTCAATTTTATTCTAAAATAAAAAAGGGATGGATCTCTAGTAGTATATATTAGAAATTCTTACAAATCATTGAGAAGAATGCAGAACTCTTACTAGAGAAATGGCCTAAGGATACAAATAGACCATTTTGAGAACAGAAATCCAGGACCAACATCTAATGAAGAAATACTTAAACCTTAGCAATCAGAAAAAAAAAAATGCAAATGGTAGAGGGAGGGAAGGAGAAACCATTTTCCAGCTTTCTAGATTGTTGCCGCTGATAGTATAGTATAGATAGATAGATAGATAGATATCTATAGATAGATAGTATAGGAGTATAAAGTAAACTCTCTCTCCTCCTATTAAATCATTGGTTTTATTTATTTTTATTTTATTTTATTTTATTTTTATTTTATTTATTTTTCTTAAATTGTCATCTGCATCATTAGGGTAAACACTGATGGTGATCTAGGAGAAATGGCATGGTAGAGATTGGAATCTCTTTACACTTCTAGACTGGCAACAATCTGGAAACTGGATTGACACCATAAGAGGTTAAGGGGACGTGAGAAGCTTTATGCACTTTTTTTTTTTTTAAAGATTTTATTTATTTATTTGACAGAGAGAAATCACAAGCAGGCAGAGAGGCAGGCAGAGAGAGAGGAGGAAGAAGGCTCCCTGCTGAGCAGAAAGCCCGATGAGAGGCTTGAACCCAGGACCTGGGATCATGACCTGAGCCGAAGGCAGTGGCTTAACCCACTGAGCCACCCAGGCGCCCCGCTTTATGCACTTTTAAGTGAGATTTGAGACTCATACAGCAATTCTGAGGAGCCCACTGGTGGTATCTAGATACGTAAAAGAACATATACAAATGGTACTCCATGTCTCAGCAGTCATGATTCTGGGCGTACAATCCTATAAAATCATTATACAGGTCCAGAAAGGGATATGTACAAGCATACTCAGAGCTGGTATGAAATTGGAGGAAAATTGGGTTTATTTCTGGAGAACCAGACATGGAGCACTGTGTGTCACTTAGAAATGACAGACTATAGACACATACCGAAAAATGAAGCATTTCACTCACTTGAGCTACGTGGGAAAATCTAGAAGGAATTGCATGCATGATAAAGTAAAATTATATGATTTGAAATACCTATGTGCAGACATACATGGTAAGGGTTGAATTCTCTAGGAAAAGGCTCATGGCTGGGTCATGAAGAGGCTACTATTTCTCTTGGATTTAACCCCAGGTTTAGAAAGAGCTGAGCTGGTCCTTATCAGTGTGGTGAAATTATGGCAGCTGAATCCGTGACCTTTAGTTACTGTCTTGCCATCACCATGAGGACTGGAAGAAAAGAGGAAGAAAAAAAACACTGGGAGAGAAAAACACAAAAGTGGACAAAATAAGAATAAAATGAAAACTGGAGAGGTAGTCATTCCATACCCTGGAGAAGTGGTGTTTCACTCCTTCATGGGGGCTGAACAGCCTGTAGCCTGGTGTTCAATCCACCGTAACTTAAGCTACCTCCAGTTAACTTGCACTTCGTTCCAACGGAACACACCCCCTGCTGTCTGCGTTGGGTCCACCAAGAGGAACCCCCTCTTCAGCGCCGTGGATTAGCAACTGGCACAGAAGTTAACGCCAAGTCTTCTGGTTCAGAGGACTGAATTTCCAGACTGCAGGGTGAGTTTGGGGGCCATTTAGCTGAGAATCGCTCCTTGAGTGAGTTGATTTGATCAAGAACTTGATCGTTCTGAAAATAAATAAAAAACTGCCACTCTTTTTTCTGGGTCTTGATACCAGTAAACAAAAGTATGTCCCTTTTCCGGGATGCCATCCATCCTTGCCTTCCGGCCTTTGCCTTTGACCAGATGTCCTGGAGTCTGCGTGACTTTGGCATCAGTAGAACCTATAAGAGGACACAGAAGCTGTTGGTAAAGCCCAGGAGGAACCCTGATAACAGAAGAGCTTGGGACTGGGAGTGGACAAACCTCAAACAGGATTTTTCTTTTGATGAAGGAACAGAAGGCTGGCTGAGGAACAAGCAAAAGCGGACATCCTGCAACCTTCCCTCTCCCCCCACTCCAGGATGGGACTTGTGTGACATTCTTCCAGGAATCTCCCATCTTCTGTTAAATACCTTGCAAGAGGGGAAAAACAACCTTAACCTGACAGTGGCAAGGCCACAAGGCCTCAGGTATCTTGTAGGACCTCTTTATCATAGAAAGTTCTATCGAAACCTCCCTTTTTCTTTACCTCCCCCAACCCCATCGTACATTACCTGCCACCCCTCACGACCTCAGACAGCAGCTCTTTACTGCTCAGGGGTCCTGTCCCCGTGTTTTTTTTTTTTTTTTTAAGATTTTATTTATTTATTTGACAGACAGAGATCACAAGTAGGCAGAGAGAGAGAGAGAGAAGCAGGCTCCCTGCTGAGCAGAGAGCCAGATGCGGGGCTCTATCCCAGGACCCTGAGATCATGACCTGAGCCGAAGGCAGAGGCTTTAACCCACTGAGCCACCCCGGTGCCCCAGTCCCCGTGCTTTAATAAACCACCATTTTGCACCAAAAATGTCTCAAGAAATCTTTCTTGGCCATCGGCTCCAGACTCAAACCCACTGAACCTCACCTACATGCTAAAACTTAATCACTTTTGTGCTCAGAACTCACTGGCTCTCAGGAGACAAAGGACTACAGAGCAGAGGAGCCCTGCGCCCATGGTGGCATCAAAACAGCAAAAGGATGAGGCTTCCCCAGATCCCCATCAGCAACTGTGATGTGATCACTTTGCAGACTCATAATCATCATGTAACTGCTTCACTTTCCAAAAACACCTCTGGCATCAGAAAGAAAGTTTTTATCCCAGCTCAGTAAATACAGATACTTTGTATTTTATTTATTTAGAAATATTCATTTTAAAAACATTTTCTATCTAGTTTTACCAACAGAAACAATACTTATTTTTTAGGAAGTTGTGCAATAAAAGATAAAATACCGCATGACTGCCAAAGATGAGGCCTGTTAACACCTCGGTGGCATTCTTTCCAGACCTCTCCTTTCACCCTCTCTGTGTATATGTGTACATAGACACATCTTCTTTGATGAAAACTATCTCATTCTGTAAAATGCTGTTTTATAACTTACTAACTTAATACAATTTTCATGTCTTTTCCTATCATTGCATTTTTCATTTTATACTACCCAGTTTTTATTCCAAGTTTAGCAGCTGTTTGAAAAAGATCCTTTAACATGGATTCAGTTTCTAACTCAGGACTGGGCATTGCTTTGGATGATTATCTAATTATCTTTTCAAATAATACAGATCCTTTTTGTTATGGTTGTTTTTATGATTCTCAGGCTAGCCACTGCTTTACGGAATATTTCACCTTCTTGGCAATTCTGGTATGGTTTAACTAGTTAGCCTCTCCTTTTCTTTTCTGATTTTCCAATCAACCTTTATTTTAAGTAGTACGCTTCTTTTTTGGTGATCTATTTTTGCTTACTTTCTTCTTCCTTCCTCCCACCCCCATTCCAGGGAAGTCATTTCAACAGCTTAGTGTGTATCTCTCCATAGGTTTCTCCTTCCTCATCCAATTATTCAATGAGGTGGTTTTCTCCACATTAAAACACTGATATCAAATATATATGCAATAATTTGATAACACACCAATAAAATGAGCACTTGAACAAATAACTCCAGAGTCTTTGAAATCTCATGTTTTTTTCTCCAGATCTCCTGACCCCGGAGCTCCCCCTCCTATTCTATCCTACTCTCTTCTAATGACTCTCTTACTAGACTGTTAGCTTCTTGGAGAAAGGATATGTTTCTATTCAGTTTTATATACTTTGCATTAGGAAAGGCGACAGGACACAGTAACATCTTAAAAAAAAAGATACAGATAAATATAAAAGGATTAAAAGAATGGAAACGCAAGTAGCACAGTGTATTCCCTAGGTCTGCTCTCCTAGTGCTTTATTAAGAATCCGAAGAGTGGGGACGCCTGGGTGGCTCAGTGGGTTAAGCTGCTGCCTTCGGCTCAGGTCATGATCCCAGGGTTCTGGGATCGAATCCCACATCGGGATCCTTGCTCAGCGGGGATCCTGCCTCTCTCTCTGTCTCTGCCTGCCTCTCTGCCTGCTTGTGTGCTTTCTCTCTCTCTCTTTCTGACAAATAAATAAATAAAATCTTAAAAAAAAAAAAGAATCCGAAGAGTGCAGGGAAGGGTACTTACCAGAGGTGCATTTAAAAAAGATGAGAACAGAGGAGTGGGGGCGGGGGTCGAAGGACTAGAGTGGGTTTGTGTGCAGGTGGTGAGTGGCTGTGCTCCACTGTGGAGCGCTACCAGAACAGAGGTACACGCCTGTCTGGTTGGTGTGGGCCAAGTTCATAGTGAGAGGAAACTGCCCCTTCTCCTCTCAGGAAACATTGTAGCCTTCAGTTATGTCTCCTCTCTGAACGTCTTTCTCAACAGTTAAGTAGTAAATCAGCCTCAGACTTTGCCGTGGGTCCTGCCCATACCAGTACACGGCATTGTACTTCAAGTTCTGTTTACACTCTAGAGTCACGGCCTGACCAGCCCTAGTGAGCAGGAATGCGGGCATCTGGTAGATTTCAGCGTGCGTGGGTCCGGAGGGGGAAAGGATAAAAAGGCTGGGGATAACATCCAGAAGGCAGCCCAATGCTGTTGTAAGAAGTTATCAGAGTGAGGGTCTGCACACCCAGGACAGGAATTTACTGACTGGGTGTTGGACTCACCTGTTCCCAGGAGACAAAGAGCCACATAGCAGAGGGCCCAGCTGCTCATGGCAGAGACAGAGCTTTTGTGAAGGTCTAGACACAGACTCTGAGACAGGCCAAGGGAAGGGAATAGGATGTAGGGCTCCCCCTGCCTCAGTCTGTGGACGTTGTCGCAGCTATAAGATGACTGTCACAGCTCATTTTGCAGGTGGGGATACTAAGCCTCGGAGAGATCATGTCACCTGTCTTCTCTCCTATGTACACAACTCTTTATATCCCTTCTAATTGGACAAGTTCCCCACGGTGAGAAGACCAGATTCCCCGTTTCCTGGTCAGAGTCACACTCAGTATGCTCTGTAGCTTGGGCACTTGCTGTGATGAGAGTGAGGAAAAGAATTGCCTACAATTTTCAGAGTCTATTTCTTTCCATCAATTGCTCTGTTCCTACCAATACTGTTTCGAATACAGGAACATGTTCATATGTTTTGTTGTTATAAAATAGAGTCAATTCTCAATCTTCCGTGTTTATTATAAATGATATAGTACAGAGGGAGCAGGGCCTCCTCGAGTGATTTCAGCAACAGCAAAGGGTCCTAAGTCCGCCCTCCCCCCGTGGCGGTGGATTAAAGTCTGGGCTTGAGCCCTGGTCCTGACATGTAGCAGCTACCTAAATGTGGGCAAGTCTCTTAACTTCTCTTTGACTTGACTTTCTCATTGGTAAAATGGGTATGAGTATCTACTTCAAAAGTTGTGAACTTTATATGAAAAAGGAATTTAGAACTGTTGTTCACACAGAGTAAGTACCATATTTCTGTTTGCTATTATTATTTTCTGGACCTGGTATTCTAATCCTTGGCATTTATGGAGTTAATATGTCAAAGAAAATCAGATCTTTACTGACACAGAATTGTGCTAGCTAACTAACATGTAATTTTCCCATATTGAGTTGAAATTTATCCAATGAGTGTAAATTCATTGCATAGCACAGTTTCTTCTTGAGTTTTGGATTTTAAAAAATGCTGTTATTTTGATAGATAAATGTTTGCTTTATTTTTATGTTCTTAGGTCATCTGTAATAAAAGACACTTTGATGATGAAACTTTTGGTTTGAATGTGGTGGCTTAGAAACTATTGCTGCCCCTCTTGGGAGAAAGATGTGTGTGTGTGTGTGTGTGCGCGCGCACGCACGTGCATGCATGTGTGAGTCAGAGAAAGGGAGGGAGAGGAGAGAGAGGGAAAGGGAGAGAAGGGGAAGGCCAATGATGTAATGATTTAGAATTAGGACCATCACAATGTACAAAACTATAAGCAGAACTCAGAGGAAGAATGCTCGCCAGCAGGTTGCTTCCAATGGCTGGGTGTAGGCTTCAGCTTCTCAATCACATCTGCAAAGGATTATATTCCTCACACAAAGGCTCCTAACCTTTTTGGTACATGGACCCCTTCGGCGATCTAGTGTACCCTAAGAACACTTTCTCAGAAGATGTTTTAAACCCATGAAATGGAATACATTGTATTACAGAGGAAAACAATATTTTGAAATGCAGTTATCAAAATATTCCAAAAGAAACTTATGATATATTATCATATATATTATGATATATTAACGTATAATATAGTAACATATGAAATCTTTAAAATTCATTAAATAAAATATATCCCAGTGATTTTGAAAACTACCATGAATTCAGAGTAGTGATGACAGTGAAAATATCTATTCTATGTAATGAGGCATGAAAATACCTATGACTTTCATATCAACTGTCATATATGCACATATTTGTGATTTCTACCCTATAATTGTCTTTGTCACAGGTACTGCTAATACTGCTGTGGTTTATTCACTGTATCTCTTGTGAACTAAGGAACATATTTTAGTTAGAGATTAGTGAAAATAAAGATATATTTTTCCCATTCAAATTCAGATTCCCTGAATTCTATCTATGCACCCCTTGGAGGTCCATGGGTCACAAGTTAGAACGACTGTTTTAAAAGAGAATATGCGGGGCGCCTGGGTGGCTCAGTGGGTTAAGCCTCTGCCTTCAGCTCAGGTCATGATCTCAGGGTCCTGGGATTGAGCCCCACATCGGGCTCTCTGCTCAGCGGGGAGCCTGCTTCCCACCACCCCCACAACCCCGCCTGCCTCTCTGCCTACTTGTGATCTCTCTCTTTGTCAAAGAAATAAAAAAAAAATCTTAAAAATAAATAAATAAAAGAGAATATGTTTTATGCTGGAATCCATGGAAGGAAGTAGGAGGAAGTTCATATATTCCCAGAAATAGTTGGCCCACATGTGCAATCTCAGATTTGTCAAAAGTGTTCTGATTTAAAAAAAAAAAAAAAGAAATACAGAAAAAAAAGAGAGAAAGGAAGAAAGAAAGACATAATCCCCTTCTTTAGACTGATCTACAGACCTAAATTTGACCATAACAGGTAGGTACGTACTATATTGTATTCTACTCCTGTGAATGTGATACAATTTCTATAATCTTCCTTTCCATGTGCTGTCTTCAAATCAGTTACCTTCCTCCTCCTCCTCTTTATTACCATGATGTATATG